TTACCCGATGATTTTATCCGATCGGCACGATCTACCTTCGCGCAAAACGTCAATTCACTTTTTTTTTTATTAGCAGTAGGTATTTCGTTACCGGATATTTTTCTATGCGCGCTATATCGCCGGTACGAAATACCGTCGTCGGTCCTCTTCGTGATCCGGAAATGCTCGTTTTCCTAATAACGGCGAGGTAACGAGCTTAATCCACCGTAACGGCGATAAACTATCGGCGATCCTCGAGGCAAGAAGGCCCACTTCCCTTCTTGCCTCGGCTTTCCCGTTGGTCCTGCTCCCTTTCACCATCTATACACGGATGGCACGAGCGAACCGTCTCATTAGCCGAGACCTTATATGGCGCTCAATTAAGATTTTTACCAGTCCCGGGTAGGTAAATCCACATAATGAACACGAGCCACGTTGGCGACTCGACGGAGGAGAGAAAAGGCTTTATGAGATCACGGAGAAAGCCAGGTACACGCATAATGCACGGCTTGCCCGGACTATGTTTTGCGATGGAGCGATTTTCCATCGGCGCCGATGCTGCTCTCCGGATTCTGATCGGCGCGTTCACGCATGAGAGCATTCAGATATGATTTTCCACGAACGCAGAACTTTCTGCGCGCGGTTTTTAAATTATATACATATATTTTATGTCCTAAACATTTTGCCGCGCGCGCGTGCTCGTAGATATTTTATTTCTGGCTGGCGACGATATTCTGCCCGCGGTGATTTTGCCATTTAATAAAACGGGGGGGGAGGGAGAGGCTTCGATTTCTTTTTTAATAAATTTAGCGAACGACCAAGTTTCGTTAACGAACGTGTATAATTATCGAGCGACAGGTAGCAGTTATTTTACGCACAAGTTTCCGCTAGAGCGGTAGTTGTAATTGGCATCTCGTCAAATATAGTGCTCGTGTCTGTGCATTCGTGGCCTGTCTTCTCCATGCGACTCGCGCGCAATCCGGCACTTCCTCTTGTTTCCATCACAGGCTCGTGTTAAGTCCAAGAACCATGACCGGCTTAAACTCCCATTCTCAATGTCTCGCGACGGTAATCTCAGGGCGAAGTTTATCTTGCCGCGCTATGCATAACGACGGACACAATAGGATGCGTTATTCACGCTCGGAAGATTAAAAACATTAGCTAAATTTATTGCAAGTTCGCGGCACTCGCTGCAATTCTAAAATACCAGGGAGGGAGGAGACTAATATTTCCTGGTTAATTTGAGGAAGGTTTATGTTCACAGGGTAACGTGAAAAATAAACCTTTTCGCCCATTTTTTTCCACAATTTACATTACGCTTTTTTCATAATGAAGAAATTCTTTAAAGCGCATTACATTACAGTCGTATGTCCGTGCCCGTAAAAATTTTCATAATGCAAAGTGTTTAAATGTAATATTACTTAGGGCACGTTTAATGAAATCCCGCCGCGCACACTTTGGACCGTTGCGCGCTTTACGCGCTCTCTTTTTTTTTTTTCCACCGTGGATTACAGTGTCCGGGGCTTGCGCTTCGAGTTTCGATTCGTGTTTCAACAAGCTTTACTCGATAGTCGAGGTTGCACGTTTTCCGGCGCACGCGTTAGCCCTCCCCCCGACAAAAGCGTCGGTCTCTAACAATTATTCGAGAACGTAGCACGTTCAATCTGTCTCCGGGTCGAAATCGCCGCGTGTGTATTTTATTTTACACAAACGCACACATGCATATATATATACATGCATGTGTGTTATATATATATATAAATATAAAGCCATATAGTGGAAAAGCAATTGGTGCGTTTGATCTATCGTTTCTCCCCTTCACTGTCAGCCTCCTCACCAATCCCAAACTGTCGATTGCCATTCCTGCCCTCTCCGCGCCGTTTCCGCCGGAACGTATATACATCCCGGGCGATTTATTGACTTAGGTACTAATATGTACGTACACTTAGGTGGTACATACATGGAGGGTACCGGGACCGGCGAACGTCGCAGCCTCTCGACGTTACTCTCCCGGAGACGCGCGCGGATTCCGAGTAGCGGCTGGCTGCGAAGGAAGCGGAAGCGTTGCGATTCGCGCGCGCTCATCTTCTCCTCCGCCTCCGTCTCCGTTGCTCCCGTTTAATAACTGAAACGGATACTTGCCAGCTACGAAGATGAGAGAGTCGACGCGGGACACTCGCCTCGCGCTATCCGCTCGCGTTTGCTCGTCGCGCGATCTGATATCACGAATTAGCAGGCGTTTATCGCGGCGCGCGTCGGCGAACTCCGCGTTTTGCGCCGCGCGCGTTTACGCGGAAGCCCACGATCGATCATCTCAGCTACTCCCGGCCGCGCTAATTTCTCGCGTATACGTTTGACTTGAACGCCCCGATCTAATTGGGGGGGAGGGCGGGGGGAGGGGACTAAAAGAGCACGTTGTTAATCAGCCTTAGGGTCGAGGTAAGCGCGGCTTTTCTGCAAAGTCGGCGTATATCTTCACGCTGGTCCATTCTGCTTGTAATTGAAGAGCTTATCTTCAAATTGTTTTACGCTCCGCGGCTTCCCAGGCGAACCTTATGACGCGTAAATTTCATTATTTTTTTTCTTTACATAGGTTCGGAATCGCTTCGGGACGGGATTTAATCGCGTGGATTGAGATATTTTACGAAACGCGACGCAATTAACCGAGGCGCGAAACGGTCCTGAAAGATTCGTTCAACGCGTGGATACGTCCTCTTAAAGTATTTAAATCGCGAACTTTCATCAGGCCGCTATCAATCTTTCGATTTCCGCGACGCTACTTCTGCGCGTTGTCGTAGGTCAGGAGTACCAATTGTGAATTGAGAATTTACGAAACACGATGCAGCCAACGCGTGAAACGGTTTCGAGAGACTCGTCGATATGGATACATCCTCTTAAAATGTTTGAATCGTGGATTTTATCTTCCGAGATTCTGCGGCGCTATTTTTGTGAATCATATGTGAATAGAACACTAAGGCCCGGTTTTGCCAGCGTCGTTTAACATTTAAGCTTAGCGCAATTCGTTCTTTGTCTGTTTCCAACTGTTACTTTAGAAGGAGACAAACATGAATTAAACTAAGATTAAAGGTTAAGCGACGTTTGGTGAGACCGGGCCTAAAGGCCTGCGTCCACGGTGCTAGAACCTGGTCCAAGTTCTATAAGTTCGATGGAATAGCTGCAAGTTGATTGGCTACACATTTCTCGAAACTAGAACTCGGACCAGATTCTAGCATCGTGGACACAGGCCTTAAAAAAACACTAAAGCCAACGGCACACGATACTACTTTTCCTATAACTGGATTGCTTGCGAGAACCAATAAGGATGCAGAGTGTTCAGATCAGGTGACTTAAGACTAAATCCCGATTGGCCCTCGTAAGCAATCCAGTAGGAAAAATGGTATCGCGTGCCGTTGGCTTTAGTGTCCGAAAGTGTCGTTTACTCGCGCGATACCTACTTAATTCCCGTAGCGCGCATTACAGCCGTGAATCGATCACAAATTAACTGCCAATGCAGCTCCTCTCCTCTCCACGCGCTTCCTCTTCCCCGTGCGTCTATATCAGCCAATATTTCATCGATCTAGTGCACGCTCTCTCGCGATTCGACCAAGTTTCCGGGAAGCTAAGCGCGAGGCATAAATCCACCCTGTGGAACGGAATTAATAACCGTCGAATTATTAAATAAGAAAAAGCTCCCTCTCTCCTGCGTGTTGCTCTGTACACGCTTCGCTCCTCCGGGTCGCAAAATCTTGCGAAAGTACGAACGAGCGATAGTTAGTCACCGCGGCTTGAATATTCATAGGTAGAGGGGGATCGTCGGGGCGCGCGCCCTGTCCCTCGGCGGGGGTTTATATTCATGAAAAGTCTGAAAAGCTTCGGTGGACATTACGCAATTTTAATACGCTTGCTTCTACGAGAGAAGCAGGAAGGAAGGTGGGGAGAGAGAGTGAAAGAGAGGGCGATGACTCCGAAAGAGCGAGGTGAATCTCCGGTGGCTACATCCCGGCGGCTTTGCTCCGTAAATCCGTGTTACAAATTACGCGAAAGCGCGGTATTAAACATCGTTCGTTTAGAATCTGTGCGCGCGCATTCTTTCTTCCCCTCTTTCTCTCTCTCTCTCTCTCTCTCTTTACATATATAAATATATACGCAGGGTGTCCCATTTTAACTTGGACGGTAAAGTATCTCAAGAACTAATAAGATGGTGTAATAAACAATAGGGGATTCCGTTTAAAAAATTGAAGGCGACCTTCACGTGACCTTCAAGCAACTATTCAAAGTCAAATTAATGACACAATCTTATGCCCCCCTCGAAACCATACAACTTTTGTCTAAAACATTTTTGTTCGCTGGACTTGGTTTTTGAAATATTTTACTGTCCAAGTTAAAGTGGGACACCTTGTGTATGTACATATATATATAATATATATATAGGTAGAATACACCATTTTCACGTGAAACGTATGTTTTTTGGCGCGAGGCGCGTATATCAGAGATATTCGTATTTCGAATCGAGCGAATCGATGATTCGGCGTGAAAAAGCTACGCGGAGAGAACAACAGCGGGCAAAAATAAATACCGTTATAGGACGCGTGAAGCTTCCCCGTGAAAATACGACGGTAGACCTGACAGATTCAATCTCGGGCTTCATCGCGTTTGTAAGGAGCGCGCACGTTAGAAATCGTTCCTTCGCAGCACCGCCGTCATTTCGCAGAATTATTTTCGGACGCGAGGCGAGCGCGCATTTACCTGGGGATAAGCCCCGGCTCTTTCTTCCTCTTCATTAAAAGCCGTCCCATTTTCTCCTTTTTGCCGATGGAATTCGTTCGACAGCTTTTATCGGAATTTCCATTCAGTTAGACGGCGAGGCGTTCATTGCTCTCCCAATGCCGTTCCTTTCATTAGCCAAGATAGAGGCGTTTAAACGGCGAGTTGTAGCCGCGTAATTGCGGAAAGACCGCCCCGATGTTGTTTTAACCGACCCTAATCCCCCTCGTTTCTCGTATTCTCTTCTGCCGACGCAGTACGTCTTCGTGGTGATGGCGGTGCTCGTGCTGGAGGCCGGGGTCGGCGCGCTGGCGCGCCTCTACGAGGAGCAGGTCGGCCCCGAATTGAAGATGAATCTGAACCGCACCTTCCTCGAGAACTATGCCGTGCGATCCCGGGAGACCGCGGCCATCGACCAGATGCAGAGAGAGGTAAGTAACGAGTCCCCGCATCGGGGGAGAAATAATAATAAATAGGGGCGCACGGGCGCTGAGACGCGCCGCTTAGTAACTTTTCGCCGAGGACTAGACCAGGACTCGAGCCTGGGACCTACTGCTCTTCCTACTGACAATGAGCTATCCAAGCCCACGCTCGATCCTTTTCTCGCTCGCCTACTGTATTTCACCGAGTAAAGTAGAAAAAATAAGTCTCTCCACTTGCCCCTCGAGCTACTCTGGGGGGGGGGGGGGGAAAGACAGTTAGCAATCCATTTTGGGGTCCACAATTAGCAATCGAACTATTTGGATCGTTCGTAACTCTACTCTGGGAAAAAAATTTTGACCGTTTTCTTTGCAGTTAAGCAACTTAACATTTCGGTTAGTGCCTCTTAAGTGAAAATTATCTTTGCGTTACTGAATGTCGACAGAACTAATTGAGAGAATTGATTAGTATTACTTGAAAATCTTGGATATACACTGAGAGACCCATTTTGTTGAGTGAAACAAAATTTAGTTGACTCAACTGAATGTCTTGTTCGGACATGAGCAAACAAATCTTTCAGTTGATACAACAAAAAAATTTAGTCGGAAAATTTGGTTATATCAACCACACAAATTTGGTTGAGTGAACATGCGCAGAATCCTTTTACGATATTCAACTAAACGATTTAGTTGACGCAACAAACACAATTATTTAGGACGTGATGAGATGAACGAATTTGTTATCTCAACCATCAAATTTTGTTCAAATAAGCAACTCGTGGAAACAAGCTATTTAGTTGTAACATTTAACTTCTTTTCAGCAACATATTTTTCGTTTTATACAACCAAGTTGTATTTATTACATTAGTCAACAAAATGATTCAATCAAATTATTTCGTTTTATTCAACAAAATGGGTCCCTCAGTGTAGACAGAATAGCTAATTGCGATTTTTAGTTACGTGGGGGAAAATTCGCAAAAGATTAGAGTTAGTTACGAACAATCCAAACAATTCGATTACTATAAATTGTGGGCCCCAAAGTGGGTTGCCAACTGCCTTTTTTTCCCCAGAGTAGTCCCGTGTGTGTTTAAAAAAATGTCGCCGTCGAACAATTGCGAACGAAATGCGGGCCGGTATCCCGATATCGCGAGATCCCGATGCACGTTTTCTCTCTCTTTCCCGCGGTATCAATTTCCTCTCCCGTTGTCACTTTTATTCGCGTTGCATCTCCGCGCGCCTCCGGACCCCAAGTAACGTTTCCGTCGCGGCTTTGCTGGGGTTTCGCGTTTGGGGTGCCACCAGAAATACGGCAATACGACACCGGCGCGTCGAGTGTTTGCTGAAAACGTACGGCTTGTCAATACGAAACACGAGCGTCGCCGACAAATAGGGGATGTTTCGGAATCGCGAGTGTCCTAATCGCGGATAACGTGGCGAACTCACGAAAATACAATCCCCCCTCGATTGTTCGATTTCAATTAAAAAGTCGGTGCTCGTCATTTTTCTTTTATTTCTTTTTTTTTTAAACACAGCAACGGCAGCGCGTTTCGAACGCGTGTGTACTTTCCTCGCGCGTCTCCTCGATTGGAAGTGAGCCACACCCGCGTCGTCTCGGGGTTGCTCGACGTTAATTTACGAATGCAGTCGAAACGGCTCGCGGTGGCGGCCTTTGTGCCCGCGATATCACGCGTGGCGGGCACTTTTATTTATGTCCTCCGCCGACGATGGCACTCTCTTGCGAGGAGGACCTTACAGCGGTAAATCATCGTTATCGCGTTGCGGAACAGTTTCCGCCCGTTCGCTATAAATCGATTAGCGCCGCGCGGTGAACCTGCGGCGAAAAACTCTGCGGTTACGCGCTCATACTTTGGCGGGGGAGTCACTTCGCGCGCGTCACCTCCGGGCCCCGAGTGCACTCGTGCGTGCCGCAAGGCCCTCCCCGGATTTACGCCCGGATCGAAGTTGTTTGTAATCGCGGGATTGTATTTGCGGGATTAGGTCGACGGACGTTGGCGATAGCGGGGATTATGCCGACCGCGCGCACATTGCCCGCTTCGCAAAGAGACGTTTCCGTCGCGCGGGCGAATTAATCGCGTGCGCGAGATGTCCGGATTCACCTCGTGCCCGAGCGCGCAGCATCTTGATTCGGATCGGACTCGTAAGCGCACACGTGATGCGATTTACGGTGCTGATAATGGCGCGGGAGCTAAGTCGCTCCCGCTACACCCATTGCCCTGATAAATCGAGCCCCGCAATCTCGCCCTTCCGTCCGGATCCCATTGGACCGCGACCGAGGATTTTCGTTTCCGTTTCTTCACGCCGCGCGCCGGCGGGGCGTTAAACCCCCTTTCCCTCCCCTCCCCTCCCCGCCCCGCCCGTCCGCCGAAATTGGCGAAACCGTCGGGCAAGCGGGAGATCCGTATTTTATTTATACGCCGAGGATCCACGTGTACAAGCATTTCATTCCGTTCGGGAAATCGAATTTTACCGCGACAGCGCTCGTCGGGAATTTTTAAGACGACTCCGCGAGCGGAAATAAACGTCTCGCGGTACGTCCGTGCCGGTGTACGCGCGCGGAAAATCTCCCGATATATGTCCCGTATAAAACGTAGACTGTTTGTTAAATTTATTTATCCCTACATTTTTTTTGCCGCATTGCCCTTGATCTGGATTTTACCTCACCATCCGAGACAAGGTCGAACGACCTTTTTTATCGATACAGATCGCGTTACTGTCAAACGAGAGAATCCGACACATTTTCTTGCTTCCACGAGATTCGTGTATCCCTTGCTCGATTTCTATGTAATAACTTTTAAAACGAAGGTCGCATCTGATTGTGCAATATATGTATATGAATACGTACGCGTACAAATGCATTTCACGGTCTTTTCCCGGGGGAAAAAAAAGAAAAAGTCTCTTTAAACCTCTTCTTTTCTGACGTTGGACCTTCGAAAGGACCATCCGAGGCACCCGTTCAGAAGAGTAAATAATTGAGTAAATAATTGATTGCAGTTGCAGACGTTGCAGCAAATGCTGCTCCAGGCGACTTGATCAAATATTTCTTTTTAATTTTTCTTTCCAATTCCCCCCCGCAAGTTACTTGGCGAACGGAGATTAAACAAAGAGGATTGTTTATACCAAAAACCGCATCAAGAGTTTCGTTGCGGAGCATTAATAGGCCAAGAACAGTTTACAAGCTGACCGAGCGTTCTAGCCTAGTCCAGCGCTCCGAGCAAGACGACGGGGCGCCGAATTATGCGTGTTCAGGAAGGAAGGTGAAATTCGTTGACCGTAACGTCTGCACGTGTAAAGGATCCGTAGAAGTGTTTATCGCGACTAATGGTTCCGGCGCGCGATGAATCCCGCGGGATTACGTGCCCGCATTAAAGTTACCATTTAACTTGCTGCCGCCGCCGGAACACGTTTCTCACCTCCATTAATCTGCCCCTCTTCAGCCTCCCTGACCCCCTCCCCCCTTGGCCCCTCTTTCTCAATGACTCCACGGTGCCCCGGCGTGTAACGTGTCCCGCTATCGTTATTATCGTACGCGGCTATTATCGTCGCTATCGCCGCTATCATCGACCCCCTTCCTGCCTTATCCGCGTATACTTTATTATTACGCACGTCGCAAACGGAACTGGAAAATAAGAAGGATAAGTCCGCCGTTACGAATAACAAGTTCTAATGCAGCTTGAAGGCTCGCCACTTTTTCCTTTGGAACATGACTCTTTATAAAAAATTATTTATTAACATCGTGAAAAGAGAGAGAGAGAGAGAGAGAGAGAGAGAGAGAGAGAGAGAGAGAGAGAGAGAGAGACGATGTTAAAATAGACATATGTTGTTAAAATGTTTTAATGTAGGGAGAGAAGAGTATCTAGTAACATAGTAATTAAGATAAAATAATATTGTTCGTTTCGTTATCAATACTCTTTGGTTTGGATTCAAGCTATAGGACGAAAGTATGTTATTTTTACGCGTTCTATAAATTTCAAGTCACCTTAATTCAAAGTCGTCAATTTTCAATTATCGAGCCTCTTTTCTCCCTCGTCGCGGAGCAATTAAAAATTTCCTCCACAACGACGGCTGAGATGACTATATTTACATAACGGTAGCACGGAAACTACTGCTTTCGTGAGCCTTCCCAATATTATCGCGAGAGACATTATTATTGAAATTTGCAGTTCAAATGCTGCGGTGCCTTGAGATTCGAGGACTGGCTCGTGAGCGAGTGGCATAAGGACGAGGAGGTCCTCAGGAACGGCAGCGTCGTACCTGACAGCTGCTGCAAGACGCCGACGTTACTTTGCGGGAAAAGGGATCATCCCTCCAATATTCAGTACACGGTACGTCTGCCGCGGCTTTCAACTTCTCCCGCTTTCCTTGGCTGATTATTAAACGCGACATTAGCTTGAATTGAATGCCGTTCAATTGATCTCCTTGGAAAAAAGTCGTAACTCTTCCTTAAGTATGGCATGATTACAAGATATTAAAGATCAAAAATTGGAATTTGCCATTATCGATGAAAATCCATCCCAATCGGTGCGGGACCCAGATAGCAATATGCATGTCTAAAAGACGTCATAAAGATATCTTGAAGTCAGTTTTTAGACGTACATGTCTAAAAGGCAACTTAATGCCGTCTTAAAGATGTCTTTCAGACACGCTCGCTATCTGGGGAGATTGCCACGGCACTTAATATATCCTGTACAAGAGTAAAAAACCATTTGCGCCAACTGGAACACGTTTTTCGGCTCAATGTTGAGCGCCGCATAATTAAAAAACCAAACGAACTTACTTGTTAACAACCCAGATAGCACCAGTGTTGTGCATAGATGATTTTAAAATTAGCTAGATAAAGATAAGATAAAAATATATAAATTTATCTTAGATAAGATAAAGATGATTTCGTTTTGAATATATCTAGATAAAAGATAAAATTATATGATGATTCATCTAGATAATTTTCAGATATTTTTAAGACTTCATGTAAACGCAGTAGAAAAAGTTATGAAAAAATTATAGAAAAATTTAAATTATAAAGGGGGATATAGAATATATTCAGGTTAAGTTATATGACACACACAAATGCATAGTCTACAATGCCATCCATATTTAAATAGTGTAACTGTTAAGTATTTTTATGTGGCCCTAAACCAAATTATCTGTACGTTATCTTAGATAATTTAGTAAAGATAACACTTTCTTTCATCTAAGATGCAGATATAGATAATACTTATTTTTATTATCTATATAAAGATAAGATAACGCTAAAATTTTATCTAGATAATCATCTATATAATTTTATTTAGATAACAGCGAACACTGGATAGCACACATAGTTCTATGAATATTCTTCTGAAGTGCAAATATTCTTAATTTTAGAATATTCTAATCGAATAGTCTTTTACAGTGTAGCATCGCATCCGTACACTTTTATGTTTGTTTAATTTCAGGGCTGCATTTATAAGTTCCTGGAGACGACGAAGGACCATTTGATAATCTTGGGCGCCGTCGGACTGGGCCTGTCGGTCCTCGAGCTCTTCGGCATCGTTCTCGGGTCCTGCCTGTATATAAAGCTCAGGCACGACTTTGACGACTGAGAATTACTTCAATGCCCCGAGGGCAACAACAACGGCCAGTCGTGGTGCAGATACATGCAGAGCAATCCGGAGACCATTTGATCGTCGGAGTAGGGGCGGGAAGACGGGCGATTACAGCCGCGGGACCACGCGGATGAAAGGGAACCATCCTCGGCCGCGGACCCTCGTTTACCGCTCCCTCCCCCCGACGCATTCAGAAGGGTATCAACAAGTGAAAATGGAGGTAGCGATGAAGAAGCGGCGCCGTCTACGCCGCTCGTTGCCTCGCTCCCCGCGAACTTTGCGCGAATTACGTGATCACGGACAATCAAAGGGGGGGTAAAAACACATAAATTGTGGAAGTCGATCCGACGTCGTCTCGGGTCGCGGTTCGAAGGCAGAAAGGTGCTTCTAATCGTTGAATACTTGCGCAACGGAGTTGGGTTTAAAGCTCGCGCGCATTGCCGATGATATTAAGTCCTCTCGGAGACGGCGCCATTATAGAATGTTATAAGAAAAAAGAAACTGCGAAATGTAACACGAAGATTGCTCTTGAAATCGATCGGCTTTGTTCGTGCCTTCATAATGATTCATTTCTCAATGGTGCCGTCTTTATTGCTGTCGTTCCGAAACTTTCAAGGGCAATGCCGGCAGCTTTTAAATCCGGCTTTAGTGCCTTCTCGAACAGCGTTCCCACGCGAGAAATTACGAAGATGCGAACAGTTTTGATAAATAAGAGTGCGTGGGCGCACTTGCGGTTACGCAGGACCAGTATAATTATCTCGAGTATGTATCTAAGGTCTTTCGCGATCGTCCGCGCGAGACTCTCACGACTAGCCGAAGCTGTTAGCTCTCGCTGTCAATGGTGTTGAATATTTTCTGTGGTACTTTTCCCCCGAACGGAAACGAGCCTGGATCCTTTTTTATAGCGCATCGTCAGTCCACGTTGACGTTAATTACAAGAGCTCTAATCTCCCTCGCCGAACGCAATATTTTATCAAGCTCGGCGAGATTTCGCACGTGCGGAGGGGCGCTGACTCCGCTCGATACTGCCATTTGCAAATTTGCACAATTTTCAATCGCGATCCAAGTAACGATCGTGTCGTTTTACGGAGCCATGACAAAAGAAAGGAAAAATCTTTCGCGTCGAGGGAGAAGCCACGTCTGACCGTCTGGCTTCTCCCGCGTAACAAAAAGATCTGATCGAGTCGAGTAATGTCGATTTTCCTGCAATCGGATCGCGCGTCATCGAGTTTTAGTTGCGCCTCTTGAGTTCTTTCCCTCGCCTCGCATCGATGGATAAATAATCGGAGGAACCACCTGTGCTGTAAACACGATGACGGATCGATCTGTATCCGGCAGCGAAGACAGGGCGGAAATCGACTTGATAGAACTGTAAACAGTGCCTTGAAGATATTGTTAAGCTCAGAGATATTTTAGAGTACGCGTAAAAAGAAATAAAAGAAAAGAAAGAAATGACGTCGCGGCGGTGTAAATTATTAAAGAGGAACCAGCGGAGAAAGAAAAGGAGAGACTTTAGCGTGTAACAAATTTTACACATACGCACGCACACACACGCACACACACGCGCACACACACACGAGCAGCATGTATATATCCGTTGCTTCGCAAACGAGTACAAGCCTTTGCACATTATTTATGATAAACGCTTTCATCCGCCGTCGGAAACGGGAGCGCGCCGCTCGAATCGGCAATTGCGAGCCGCAGAAATTTTCCCGCCGATCTATGCACCGATTGTCCCACCCTCCTCGCACCTCCCTTATATTGTATCCCGCACGTTTTGCGAATTTTGATACGCAAGTTATTTCGCCGATCGTTGACAATTACAGCCTCGCAATTGCGGATTCCACCGGATGTTCTCGCGCTCGAGAAAGTCCAAACATATTTTACTACTGTACCATTGCGTCATGTTATTTTAATCTTAATATTATCGTCCTCACTTTGCTATTATGTACACATATATTATCGACTAGCGTTTAGGCGGACTTTATACATATTGTACATATCAAACGCTATTCTGTTACAAATAAATGTTTAAATCGTACTATCCCTCACCTTCGAAGAAAATACCAACGTGCTCTCCTCTGGACACCCGGATCGGGTCGACGAGCGTCGGTGAGTATACGGAAAAGCGAATCGTTATTCCCTAAAGTATTCCCGTTTTCAGAACTTTGTGATATTCAGTCTGCGCGATCGCGCGGAAGAACTTCATGCGCGTTTGGCTCGTTCGGCAGTGAAAGTCATTCTTCGAATGTCATCTCGGAGATTCCGCGTTGCTCGCATATTGCACCATCGACTCGAGGTGCGTCAACAGCATGTTGTCCCGCGTTCCAAGGGCGACGAACAGCCAGGCAAAAACCGCGAGCAGGTCCTTCGATATCGTCACCTTCTGCCAACCGTTCAGCTCCGCCAGGAGGGTCTCTTGTGCTGTGTTCTGAAAAATTATTGTGCACACGTAAACGCAAGTGAAGAATCTTTCGCGCAGGTCTTTTCGCCAGCTGTTAATTAAATCTGATCCACGATGTCCTTACGTTTGACCACGTTTCGTTGATACTGTGATAATGCACCAGAGCCAACTGATCGTCCACCTTCGACGATGCCTGATGGAGCCCGAAAGTCACCAGGTAGAGCAGAACGGCGATGGCAGTTTTCGCGTGGTCCATATAAATCTCGCGCAAGTGTTCCATGTCGAGCCGCGCCAGATCGGATCTACAACAACCAATGTCTCCACTGAAGTTAACGATATTTAGATATGGACGTTAAATCTTTCTTCTCAAATGTTGAACGCACTTGTCAAAGATGGAGATGACACAAAGGGCGACTAGGAAGGAGAATATATTCGTGTACATTTCGGAGAAGACCGAGTAATCCGACATGAATTCCATCGACGTGTTGAAAAAAACGTGAATCTGCGAGACACGAGTCAGATAATTGATCTTTCAAAATTGGTACCACATGAAAATTGGTTCGCGGTAGCCAAATTGAGGCAGGAACAGTGTTTACCATTATGAGATGCAGAAACGCCATCCCGCCCAGGAGGCCCTGATAAATGACACCGGTGCATTTCCAAAATTTCTGCGCCGTGATTGCCACCTTTATGAGCGTCTCCGTGGAATCGCAGCCTTCTCTACCGTTAGCCGCGTGTGTCGTATCATTTCCCAAAGCACGTCTCGATCCGCCAATTTTCACGGCGCTAAAGCCGCTCCTGCCCTGAATATAAATTGTGTCCGTAGTCAATTCCGGAAGCGGCACGGGTTCCTCATATTTTGTGCGCACGTTCTCTTGAGCCTTCTTCAGGATCTCGGTGATGGGTACCTCGTCGTCCGCTTGTGCGTGGAAAATTATTAATTCACATTATAGACTTCGTTTTTGCCTCGCGAAACTTTCAAATCTCCCTAACGCGGTTGCGACCTCCTCAAATGTCTAAATTGAATGTTTATTCCCGCTTTAATATTTATTCAAGTGCGACTAATTGTAACATACCATTGGTCACAGTTGGATTTTCGTCTAATAATAATTCTATGTAAAGTTCGTATACTCTTTCCGAACTTGGTAAACCGTGCGATTGTAGGACGGTCTTAAAACACAGTCTTAATTTATTATACTTTAA